CTGCAAAGACTCAACGTCAGCCAAGGCGAGTGAGAAAAGGAAGGGTGCGCCGCTCTACATTGTGTACAATTGCGCGTGTGAGTTCTGCATTGGCAATACCACAACTATATCAACAACACGCTCGGTGAGGTGAGCATCTACAACATATCATCAATACCAAACCCTCACGCACGAAACGACACGAGGTTACGGGTCAAATAATACATAAGGGGTTCTCTTACATATATATATATATATGTATATTTTTTCCGTTGAATGAAAGTAATAATCATCATAAATCTCTAGTATGGCGAACTTGGTGTCTTTGCGGAGACATCCTGCGAGGTGCCCTGCGAGGGCTTCGAGAGAGTCTGGAGCTTCTTCTCGTGGGAAGCCCGGCACAAGAGTGCAGGCGTCGTAGTTGCAGCCGCAGCACTTCAGCAATTCCAGGGCCACTTTCTCTCTCTCGGCTTGAGTTCGGCTTAAATCAACGCAAGTTCGACCCGCTCATGAGCTGAGGACAGGCCTCTTGCGTGCTGATGGTGCACATGGCGCCTTCCTTGAGATGCCCTCTAAAGATTCCCACAAAATTCGTGTCTGATGTGGCATGTTGTATTTCGTTCTTCGGCGCTTGTCGCACCTCTTTGTAGTGCAATCTCTTGAGAGATTTGCAGAAGGCAGTGGTCTTGATGCCGGTTGCGGATTGCGGGTGGCTTGATGGTCGTAGGCCACATTATGTATATTGTATATCCAAGCGAAAAAGACCTGATGCTGCATAAAGGCCCTCGTTTTCTGATCCCCCCGAAGAACATCGAACATCAAAGGTCGCGGCCTGCGCCACTCCAACTTTCAAAGACATTCCCAAGATCTTTGCGGCAGGCCGGACCTGTTGAACAGCGTGAGGTACTGTGGGGTCTAAGGAGTCCCAGGGTGTTTGCAATTCAGCCCCGACGTCCCGACCAGTGCCCATGGCCAAAGGCCATCCGGCACTCTGCTCTCGTATGTTCGGAAGTACCTGCCATCAGGTGTCCCGCAAGGCCAGGCGCAGCAAAAAGGCGTATCAACAGAGTGTCATCAGTGGGCTCTACATCTGCCTAAACACAGGATTTGTGCTTGCAGCAATGGTAACGCTCGTGAAGCACGTTTATTCGCACAGAGTTGATGTTGTCGTTCGACGTGCCTCTCGCCGTTTGGGGCGCCATTTTTCCTTACTTCTTCGGAGGAGCCTGTTGTTCCCACCTATTTGTCAAAAAGGCCGGTTCTTGGGGCTGCTCGGCGGACATTGAAAGTGGTACTGCAGAAACAAGGCTACCATGCACATGTTTACATGCGGTGCTATCCTGCGAAAGCTGACAGGGAGGAAATCACTGGGCCATGGCACGTACAACGAGATGCTTTTTCGCACAAACAACACCTGGTACTTCAGAGCTTCTGTGCACATCTGAAGTATTGCCTTAAGGCCTGTGTTGTGATGGCTTTCGCTGGTCGTGCTACTCGAGCATGCACGCAACTTTCGCTGGCTTCTTCGAGCCGTTCCGCTTCAGTCCAAAGATTTCTCAAATCGCTCACAAGGTTCCCGACGGTAGCTCCACTTCCGTCTCTTTACACAAGGAAAGGCGTTTGGGCATCTACACCCCTCCCTCATGCCGACGAAAGTCCAGCGTCAACTTCTCACCTATCCCAACGGCCTTTCAGTATGCAGCATTGACATACATCCCGTAGAGAATATCTCACCGATTTGTTTCAAGTCGAGCAATCCCTGGTGGAGTGAAGACATTCCCCAGAAGGCGTCATGTAGACGACTCGCGGCATCTCTCGCAGAAATTCGACTTGGGTTCCCATCTCCCGAGTCTGGTGGATTCCTCGGGCAGTCCACGAGCCTATGTGGGCTCCGATGCTTATGTCCCTGTCCAACGATTGCCAACGATGTACTCACCATCCTCCAGACCGCAAGAGCTGAAGCAAGCTCAAAGCTTGACAGGCGAATTAGCCTGGCGAGCACAACGATGCCGCCCAGACACACGGTGAGCATCATGGGGAGTTTGAAAACACGAGATCCAGCCCGGACCGTGATGATGGCCAGAGGGCTTTGCGATGTTTGAATGCCACCAAGGACTGGAAGCTGCACTAGAAGTTTGCTGGGGATCCTCCGCAAGAAATCTAGCGCAGAATGCAAGGCACCAACCACCACGAGGGTCGGAAGACAAGACGAGTAGAAAGTGAGAACCAGGCGATAAGAAAGCATGCGGAGCTCTCGTGGCCTAGGAAGCAAAGATGTGGACCAGGTGGATGCCGAGCTGCCCGGAGGAAGCATTGCAGCACAGACGCTCCTCAGGCGAGTTGGCCAACAACGTTTTCCGCCACTTTGATCGCATTGACTTGCCAGCGTCCCGACATTTGGAGAATGCTTGGCTTCTCACGACGTATGCTGAGACGTACTGTGGCTGGGACCATCGAGAAGCATATCCAGACGGCCCCAGGCGCGATTTGCTCAAGCCAACTTGGATGGGGGCTCGTCGCGTGTGGCTTCCATTCCCTCCCGGCTCAGCTTGAACCTCGCCGAAGCGGCGCGCAAGGCTTTTCAGCCGCTCAGATGGCCCGTATTCTGCGATGTGCCGCAGAAAGCGAAGAAGAGTCCTTGGAGGTCCGTACTCTCGACAGCAACAAAGGCCCCCCTTGTCACACTTGATGCAGTGTGTTCAACACTTCCCCAACAAAACACAATCCCCAATGTTGAGACTTGATTGCAAGCCGCTCAGCTGGCGCGCGGCGCTTGACTTGACTCATCGGACACAAGTCCGAGAGGAAAGTCCATTCTTCAGAGGTTCATCTAAGGGAGCCCCCCCGAAGAGTAGGATAATGTACTCCTAGACTCTGGTCTAGTTGCTCGGTCCCTTACATGAGGTTGTGCGGGGAAAGCTTTTTGACGACGCTGCTCGAGCAGCTCAGTTCAGTGCGCAGCTTTGACGCCGGAATTCTATTGCACCAAAAAGCCGCTTTTAGGTACTTGGCATGGAAGTTTGAAAGCATCAGGCACATACCCAAGCTACACTTCCCAAGTTCGATAAGAAAGCCAGAACTGGCAGCCGTTCCTCATGGGACATGCGTCTAGCAGCTGCTGCGCCAATGATGAAAAGCAAGCTGTCGAAGACATTCAAGCTTCTGTCAACGGGCTCTCGGCTGCTACGACCCAACCCCCTGCGATCTCAAGCGCAGCTGCAATCTCAAGCAGCGAGATCACGTGCAGCGTGGACACAGCGCCCAGGAAAGGCATAGATCCTTGGCTGTCTTCTGCTTGGCTCTTAAGGCTTTCATTTTCCGGTGTTTTGGTTCAACACGAGGCGCCTAGGCCTAGCCCCAAACCCTCAAACCCAAAAAACGCGCGGCCGTTGCAACAGGATCTCACCTACACTGCCAGCTCCCTGAGCCTGTTACGGGGCATCTTTCTTCGTAAGACGCTGCAGGGTGGAGGTGGCAGCTGCTCCAAAGTTTAGATGAGAGAGATGTGAGAAAAGCGCCCCCCCCCCCCCCCCCCCCCCCCCCCCCCCCC